TCTCCCTTACTTTCAGAAACACCATGTAACTTATTTTCTCCCTCACCTAGGTACGGCACACAGTGACAGCAGCAGCCTTTGACTCGGGTTGGAGCCAGTGGCCCGTGAACCTCTCAGCTCATTGGACGGTGAGTAGCCAATTGCGGGGTTGTTGCCCATGTGCTGCCGAACTCTTGCCTCAATTTCAGTTTTCTTTCTCGTAGCTGACCGAGTCAGCGATCGCAGGACACTCTGAGACAGCCAGGTGGCCTTCCTTTTGCATCAAAGATGGATTCACATCCCCAGCTATGGGAAAGATAAGTGGAGGACTACCACCTGGAGAGGGGATGAGAGCTGGGTCCAATGTTATGGTTAGGAGGGAGGGATTTTCAAATTAGCAGAGGGGAAAGGGTCTGCCCTAACAGGCCCTTGGCACACGTAGGAGGAGCAGTTTACTTTTCTTCAGTGGAGTAGGGTGTGCAGGGCAGAGCCGTTCAGGTCTCCCAGTCCATCTGGCTGACTTTGGTAACTCATTTCTTTGCAGTGTCAGAGGGACCGGATGTAAAGCAGAGATAAACAGAATAGGCCGGAGGAGCAGAGTGAGAAGGTGGGTTGTCATGTGAGGTCAGAGCCAAGACATGACTTTTGGGCCTAGGTTTACTTGATCATTTGGATGGTTTGGTGGTTTAGTTTTGTTATTTTGGTTTTTTTTGTTTGTTTGTTTCTTTCTTTTTTTTTAAGATGTGGAGCCCCTGGCCCAGCAGACGATAGGCATCAGAGGGAAGGTGAGCCCAGTGAGCAAGGTGAGCAGTGACTGCAGGACAGAACTAGATGCTCTTTTGCAGGTGGTGTACTTTTGGTGAATCTGTGTACATACTTGTATTTTTGTTTTACAGGCAGTGCACCGACTTCTAACGTACAGTCCAACGTGACGGGGACCCTGCCTGTAAGAGGTCACGGTCAAGGGGTGTCAGACAGAAACTGCCATGGGAGCAGCACACTCTTGGACAGGATCTCAGTACTGGCATTTGCCTCTGGGTTTTTTTGCAGGAGATGTATGCAGCCTCACAGGGCCGGAGCCAACTCACAATGAGGTGACGGGCACGGTTTGGTCCTCTTGAGCTGTCCTTGTAGGTAATCTCCGAGTATTAAAAGGATCAGCATCCAAGCACTGAGCTTTTTTGGTTGCAGGTGCCATCTGGCTAACCTTTGGGAGCAGATGAGCATTTGAGGTGAGTTGGGGAGAGACAGCAGGAGGAGCAGGGATCCACTGCAGCTTTACAAATGCCCTCTAATTTTGTCTCTCGCTCACTCAGGTATCCCAGAAGATGACAGCCACAGCGTGTGACTCCAGTCAGAGCCAGTGATGCGAGGACCCGCCTCAGTGACAGTGAGTAGAGGGATCTTTGGGGCTGGGACCATGTGCCACACTACTCAGACATTGTGTGTGGTTTTCTTTCTCGTAGTTGACTCCGAGTGATCTCACGAGGAGAGGAACCTCAGAGCCAGCCCAGGTGCCCCTCCTTTGCATCAGAGATGGATTCACATCCCCGGCTCTCTGAAAGATAAGTGCAGGGCAAAGACCCAGAGAGGGGTTGGGATTCGGTCCAAGCATGTGCATCGCCCGGAGGGATTTTTGAAATTAGTACAGTGCAATGGGTATCCTATAACACGTTATTTGGCTGCATCAAAGGAAGGGCTTACTTTGTATCATTGGATT